GGCTCAACCAACGACAGGATCCCTTCATTGCCTGGGGGCTTGACAGTTGGGTGTCATATCACGGCCCGCCCCTTTTAAGCTTCCGTCCGCCTAAACGATATTCACCATTTCGTTCATACAACATGGTAATCACGTACGCTTCTCTCCCTCGTGTTAATACGTCAGGAGCGCAATGCATCATGAACGCAAAGAGGAAAGAAGAAGAACTCTTACAATAATCAACAGTGAGTCTGTATCCGTACCCTGGATACCTGGCCCTATTCGCGGCTCTTCATTCCGCTAATTAGCGAAAACGACGCCACCCTGCATGAAACCATTGAAAAAAAAGGGAGGGGCGTTTGTTGTGATGGCATTTCTGGAAGGTCACATTAGTTCAAACGGGCTCTTGGCTCAGCTTTCGCGACCCGACCAGACGGACCAGTTCCTAGGAGGCCAGGAAGTATTTTGCGCTAAGGTCTCCAAGAAAGGGAAACGAATTTCCACACGAGCGTCGGGATTTGGGTAGATACCGAAAATCGTACACCTGGGCGTCGATGTGATTCACCCGCCCCGACAGGGCATCGACCATTGCCTGCGAGGAGTGTGAACAAGGTGGCGTATTCGAGAACATGCCTGAGCCCTGTCTGCCTGTGCTCAGGTGCGGCAAGGTGCCGCCCTGTTTGAGCCGACCCAGCCGATCTCAACGAATCCCGACGTCGATCCGTTCAGCACCTAATCCAATCTTTGGGCGGTTGGTAATCGAGCGAGGACAGAATAAAGGAGCAGCTTTTGTCGTGCCACCACTCTTCTCTTGCTGTCGTACTCTGGATTGTTGTCACTTAATCGATGATAAATGTGGCTTTCACTGGACTTAGGGAAGTGGGGTCTGAAGCGCATCATCCTGCCTCTGTGAGGTATTATTACTCGATAAAAATGTCCGAATACGAGGAACAAAAACAAGCCATTGTCATGGTTCCTTTTAGTAGATGGGTATTTTAAGTCTTTTCGGCGACGTTCGTGGACGGGCTATCGGTGGTCCAATTTACCCGTAATCTGGAAAAAGCCATTTCATCTATTTATTCATGTATTCTTTATCCATGGTCTTTAGTGTCGTTTTATTGGGAAGGAGATGGACCCATACATATATAATAATGGTAAAGGGGTGAACGGATGCGCAAAGCCATTATGTTGCATGCTTACTTGGCGATTAACCCTGCGATTACAATTACTGAAATCCAAGCGTACAAAATGGTACCAAGCAAGTATTCGAACCCCGTGTTGTCATGCGGATGCGGAAGAGCATTCTTTCCTTGTGCTCGTTTTATATACACTCTATCTTAGTTTATGCGAAAATTACATGTTTTTAAAGTTGTTGATGCCAAGGTGGATGTACAAGAGAAGAAGAAAAAAACTTGCTTGGGGTGATCGGAGAAAACATCCGGTACCCAACAGCTTTTTTTGTCCACTTCAAATCCAAGCACAAGGCAGGGAAATAAAAGGTGAGCTGCACCGGACAGGCTCACATAATGTACGATACAGAAATACAAGACGACGCGCACGTCACTTTGACTCGAATACCTTTTGCTCTATACACGGGAAGCCTTTATGAACGTTCGCCCTTCTTCTCCAACGCCAGGCGCACTGTTTTTCGTTGGCGTCTTCCTTTTTATATATTGAAGTGTATATTTACTTTTTCTTGGCTTGCGGTGGAGCCCGCTCGAAATTATGCATAACTAAAAACCCTAATAATAACCTTAACCGGGCCCATTTTTCTCCACACCTCTGCCAATAAACGCCAAGAAAAATAACCGCTAGTAATTCGGCGCATGTGCCTCTTCCTTCTTCTTTCTTTTTTTTTTTTTTTTTTTTTTTCACTTTTTCGTTTTTCTTGAGTGTTAATTAATATTATCAATTGATTCGATTCTGATATCAACTGATATCAATAATTCTGTCACGCCAGAACACCGTCGTACGTAGACAACTTTTTTTCTCGCACTGATGATACATATTCCGCACTTTTGTGCAGCCGAGATGGCACTTGTTTATATATATTTGGGCATTTGGCGCTCATTAGAGCATTGTAGTGGTGCGCAATTAGCCCCTGCTCGGGTTCCTACGAGCAAATAATTCTTTCAATCATGACCACCACACTCACTCCAATTGTATCCATTTATCATCCACTAAGCGTGTGGACATACCCATCTTATAGTGCACTCTGTTCACCCCTGCATGATATCTGTACAGCAACACAAAGTGACTCTGCTCTGCCGGCGTCCGACATAACAATCCCCTCATACTATTGAACTTAGCTCCTTTCATCTCACACATGGAAATCAACAAGGGTATGAGCGCATTTTCACGACAGGGCCTCGAATTAAGCCAGCGCTCAATGTGCCAGCCATCCTGCCCAAGCTATTTTGCCCTACGGAGTTCGATCGCCTTCTTATTGCCAGACGCAACGGGCATATGGATGAAGGACGTGGGTAATGTCTCTATTAATTTCCACCGCTGATCATGGTTCGTCGCACTTATCACTCATCATCACAAATAGATAAAGTAGTTACTAATAAATGGTTTACATTCGGACATTATGCCTTATCCTTGGGGCTATCCCTATCCCCCCCCGGGCACTTGACCGAGGATCAAGCATAAAGGTTGCTCCGCCGATGACGGCAATCAACTCCTTGGTCCCGCACTCTTTGGCGGAGAAGTTGGATATCTCAAATTCCACGAGGGACCCAACGGAAGCGCTTCCCCAACGGCCAACAAGCGTGCAGTCCGACCGGAAATGGGGAGCAGGTTGAGTTACTCCGGCCAAGGCTTTTGGCTACATAAAGCTTGTTATAGAACCGACCACCGAGGACATCATGCTGCTGCTCAACCTCGGTTTGCTGTCGTAAAAATGGGTGAAGAACAAATCTGAGCACAGAAATTCAGCACCACATCAGCTCCTGAGCCCCGAAAAATCAAACCAGTGTGTCCCCGTGTCGAGATTTAGCCAGCCACCTGTTCGCCTACCAGCCGGTTTCCAGACTTCAAGAGTACATAAGGAGTACTTACAGCTCACTAGTTGGATGCTAAATAGTCTGGGTTGGAATGGTGTGTTGCGAACGAGCTATTTATTCCAAACCCCTTAAAAAAAAGTCTCTCTCCGCACGCTCTTCACCTCCTCCCCCTTTGAGGCGCGGTATGAAGCATAACCAACGCCTCGGCTAACGTTTTTCTTTCTCGCTTGCTCGTCCAGCTAATATTAATATTCCCAAGTAAAATAAGAATCGAGTTGTCGTCTTGTGTCAGAAAATAGCTGCACGACGAATCAACTAGTTACCCGTAACGCCACAAAACCCCCCACAAGGAGCAAAGCAAGTGTGATATTTCTGCTTGGCAAGCTTGGCTCTCTGGACGTCACAGGTCGTTGCTTTCTCGAGGCAAAAGGACGGAAT